GCGCTGGGTGCCCTGGGCAGGGGTGTGGGGCAGCGGTGCCTGGGCGGAGGGAGCCGTGAAGGAGCTGGCGTCCTGCCGTGGTGGGTGATGGGCTGGGAACGTCCAAGCGCTGGGGGACCCAAAGTCACGGCACCTTCTGGGATCCCTCCCTGGGGCTGCCCCGCTTAGAGGCAGGCTACAGACCCTCACCGATGTCCACCTATGCTGGCAGGTGTTTGAGGACAAGCAGCGGCTGTGGCTGGATGAGCTGGAGGATCTGAAGCAGATGTACATGGCCAGGCTGCAGCAGGTGACGCAGCAGGCACAGCGCGGGCAGCGGGCACTACAGCTGCAGCTCTACAAGGCGCAGCAGGAGAAGAAGCGGCTGCAGGAGGAGCTGAGCATGCAGCAGTGCCAGTGCGAGGAGCCCAAGCTCCGGCAGACCCAGGGTGAGCGTGTCAGCCCCAAGCTGGAGGAGACCAAGTGGGAGGTGAGTGCCCTTCCTTCCCTCCCTGCTGCCGCCCTCCTGGCCTTGGAGACAACGGTTCCCTGCTCTGGTGTCACTTGTGGCAACAGGATGGGAGGGATGAGCCAGGTGTGATGATCGTGGTCCCCCAGGGATGCTGTGGTGACAATCTGGGGTGCTGCCACCCCCGGGGTCCTGCTCCTCCAACCCTTATTCACGGCTTGCCCGTGCCCTGCAGGTGTGCCAGAAGGCAGCAGAGATCTCCCTGCTGAAGCAGCAGCTCCGGGACACCCAGGAGGAGATGGCTCAGAAGCTGGGTGAGATCTTCAGCCTGAAGACACAGCTGCGGGAGGCCAAGGCAGAGGTCCAGGCCAGGGACTCCCAGCTGGCACAACTGGCAGACTCCTTCCAGAGCCCCCCGGAGCCCGGTGCCTCGCTGCCGCTCAGCGACGACCCCATGCCGGCGTGCCAGGACTTCCCTGGCTGCGAAACTGATGACTCCAAGTGCCGGGGCCTTCACAGCGACACAGCAGAGCCCCTCGAGCAGCAGGTGGAGTGGCTGTGGGCAGAGCTGTTGCGGGAGCGACGCCAGGGCCAGCTGCAGGCTGTGAACTTTGAGCTGGAGAGGAAAACCTGGCAGGAGGAGAAGGAGAAGGTGCTGCGGTACCAGCGGGAGCTCCAGGCCAGTTACATGGAGATGTACCACCGGAGCCAGGCGCTGGAGCGGGAGCTGCGGCAGCTGCGGTCGGAACCCAGGGATGTCGGGGCCGACTCACCATGGATTGAGCGGGTGGAGTCCTCGAAGATCTGAGCGGCAGGATGCTGGTGGGACTGTGAAGGGGGAAAGTGTCTCTTGCTGCTGCAATGGGACGATCTCAGGGTCTGCAGGGACTGGCTGCTCGGCACTGCC